ATTTATTTTTATACTATTAAAATTAGTGTTTTTGATTTAATTAGTAGAATTTAATGATGAAAAAAATATATCTCAAATATAGGATTTAATGAGAGAATATAACTTAGATATGAGATTTAATGAGAGAGAAGAGAATAGGAAAATAGTTTTATTTCTAATTGGTTTTAAATTTTGTATTCTATTTCCATAATTAATAAAAATATTTATTATTTATCATAATTATTATTGTTTAATATGTCAAATATATGATATTAAAAGCATTCCTAAAATTTTCTTTAATTTTTATAATTTTTATATTTTTTGAATTTTTTATTATTTACTTGTGGCAACATGAGTTGGCCCATTTGACCCAAAATGGTTTAATTTCTTACCACCACCTAGATGAAAATATTATTTTTTCCATGTAGATTTTAAAAGTATACGTTTTTATTTTATTAGAACTATTAATTTATTACGTATGAATTTGATTAGAATTTAGTGATGAGAATAAATAAAAAATGCTTTAAATATATGATTGAATGAGGATGAATGGGAGTTAATACATTAAATGTGGGATTTAATGAGGAAATTGAATGCATTGAATAATTGTATTCAATTTACATTTTTTACCCTCACAATAAAGGGACCATATTTCAAAAAAGGGGGTATTTGAATGAAGAAAATTTTCAGAAATTTTATAAGCTATTCGTACTTTTTATAGTAAGTATAGATTTGTATTTGTTCCTTTCTAAACATAGCCTATTTATATGTAAAATGCTAAACCTTGTTTTGCACTCTACATGTTTTTTATTTGTACTTTTTCCAAACTGAGCCATTGGAAAGAATACAAATATGTAAACAAGGGTTTTAAAATCGAACCAGACAATGAACTGGTTCGGGGTTTGGTTCTCGACTCGAATGGTTCAACCGTTCGAACTGAATGGACGGCCCGTTCTGACAAAAAAAATTAAAAAATGGCCAAAACTGCTAGACGGTTCGAATGGTTCGACTGCCTAGGTCAATAATTTGTTGACCAAATCAACAGTTTTTTATGAAATAACGATTTTGGGTAAAATGGAACCGATCACCTAACCGGTTCCCAGTTTTTTGGTCCGACCATCCGGTCTAATCCGGTTTTGAAAACAATGTATGTAAAGTCCAAAGCTTTGTATTTCCAAATTATGCATGTACATATTTGTGTTTGTACTCTTTTCAAATTGAGACAAAATAACTGTCTTTCAGCAAAGGGCTTTCTGCTTAAGCTTCATTTAGTAGCTTTTGTCTAAGTAGCTCAATGAAAGCAATGTAATCAAACCCCTCCTAAGAGGGCTTTTCCATAACGACTTTTGGCTTTGCAAGGTGGATCTCACCTGAACAATCTGTAGCAATGTTTAATGAGAACCCCTAAAAGCTCAATATGCATGGTATCCTTCAGCCCCAAAAGATTCTTTCCATTGAAGTTCAGTGGCTTCTCCAAAGAAATTGCAAGTAGGGCTGTCAATGGGTTGGTTCTGTCCAACTGTTTGAATGGAACCAAACCGATTATGTTGGTTCTAGTTCCATGATTTTGCCGTAATTAATAATTGGATCAGTTCTGATTTTTACCTATTTTGAACCGATTTAGATCCAGAACCAATTACTTTGTTAAATATATAAAATTCATAATTTTTTACATATTTACGTTAGAAATGATAAAATAGCTAGATTATATATAATAATATTAATTAAAAATTTTTAAATTATTAACATATACATAATTTAAAATTTTATTATCATTTTTATTAGGATTATATTACCAAAATATAAAATTTAAATTATTATTTAAATAAGTATATATGATTTTCAGTATTACCGGTCCTATTAACCGAAACTGTTTTTGATCCGATTTAGTCCCGATTAATAATCGGTTCGGAGCTGAGACCACCCTGTCCCGATCTAGACCCCACCCGTTAACAGCCCTAATTGCAAGTCAGCCCTGAACGACAACATTTGGGTGGTTTCACAGTTAAAAAACATCAATCATGCTCCATATTATTGTTTATTTATTAGCCCAAAACTAAAGGCGGGCAAAAAGGAATCTCTCTTCCACGCTTTCATCCTTTAAACCTTAAACAATGGGTTTTGATGGTTTTCATTATTTAAGTATAGATATCGGGTCCACCCCTTATCATGGCCCATACCCTTCACCACATATTTCTAGCCCGTGGGCCACAGCCCATGATATGGACCAACCACAAGATCTCCACCGTCTGATCAAAACTTGGAAATTTATGGGCCATTTGACACAACCGACATGGACCCGCATAAAATTGCTTGACAGTTGGATCACAAACACTTTCTGGGTTGCAATCAATGGAAGGAACGGCCCACCAAATGGACAGTTTATGGAGTCCTGAAGATGAGAAAGCAATTAACTTACATTTTACGTAAGCACGCACGTAAATGGCTCCTCCATAAACTTTGTAGCCCAAGTTCAAAGAAACAAGAATACTCAAAGGAACAATTAAGCACAGTAGGCTACCTAACGTGGTCTGAATAATTAAAAAAATCTCAGGCATTGTTTGGATTGTTTGTACTTTTGCTTTTGTATGAAATAAAATTGCATTTGAAAAGCAGAAACCCTAACACTTGTCCAAACGTAACCTAAGTCATCAACAGATAAGAAAAGGGTAAGCTGGGGTCTAGCTAGGGAAGGCAAAAAAGGGTTCGGCAGTGGACTACTTGTTTGCCATCTGTCAAAAAGAACTCACAATCCACCGTTGGATGGAGTGGGGTAATAAATAGGATTTTCTTAGAAATGTGGATCCCAATAAGGGGAATAAAGTAGAAATGGCCCCAATCAATGATCTCAACTCAAGTTCGACTAATCAAATCAGATTCCCATCTAGATGGCTACTGAATAGGTTAAATACATAAATATCTTAGGACAAGAACAATATAAAATTTTTAGAAGAATCATTAATTAATTAAGTAATTAAGAATAATAAGTAATCAGGAGTCGGCAAAGCAGTAAGCAGCTGTTGAATTGAGGAGCCTAGAACAAGGGGGAAGAAAATTTGACACGTGGCAAATGCCACTAAAGAGAAGAGAAGAAGACAAAATAGGAAACAATGGAGACGTCCACATCTTAATACTGTTCCGTTTTCAGCCACTTGTTGACTCCCAAAAGGAGCCAGATGGTAATTTTGGATCCCACCTCCCACTTCTAAGACCCAAGACCTGCCGTGTTTCACAAGCCACAGGACCCACCCTCACCTTTCAGCTCCATCTGTCTCCCACCACACCCTTCTCCTATATTTGAACGACTCTCAGACCGACCCAATTCTATCTTGGCGGTTTTGAACCTTTGGCTTTGGCTGTATTTGATTGCAATGTAAATAAATTTGAACTGATGCAAAACTATGATAATGCAAATGATTTTGACTTATTTCCAATTTTACTTTATTTTATTTGGTTGCATTATAAATAAAATAAATTAAACCATAAAATAGAATAAAGTAAAACCTAAAACAAAATTATATGAGAATTTATAGATATTTTCATTTGCAGTCCCATGCATTTATATTAGTACAAATAAAATTGCACTTTAACTAAACATAACCTTTATATTACAGTCCTACTACAGTGCCACAGTGTAGAGATGAACATTTGAAATGTGTTAAATATTGATTATGTTAAAGATATCACATGATTTATGTTTTTTTCATTATGAGGTGTATTCAAACGGTAAAGATTTCAAAAATATTTATTATCATTATCATCATCATCTATGGCATTGAAAACTTCAACAACACTAAAGATGTCAATTATTTATGCATCACTTTATCACTGGTTCATGTTTTTATTCTATTGTGTAGATTTTGCCTCTTGAGTTTAATTTGTAGTAAAATTTATGGTGTATTAACTGTACCATGAAGCAGAAAACTTGAACAAATGATAAGGTTATATATATCATAGTTAATCTTTAACATTGTTAAAGTTTTTAATGATAATTACACCTTGTGACTTAAAAAGTGAATCAATGAAAAATAAATACTTGGATTAGATTCACAAATTGCATTATAAAAAATAAAACTGAAAAGATCAGAACATTATATATTATTAATAACATTAAGTTAAAGCATATTGTCTCAAAGTATCTTTATGGTTTAGGAAGGCTTTAAATTTTTATGCATATGCTTAACTATTGACCGAGTTGGATCAAATGGAATTGGGTTGGGGAGGATTTGTGTTTGATGCAATTACAAAGGTCTTCTTTCTTTCTTTCTTTTTCCATTGCATAAAACAGTATCTCCTTTTGGAATTTGATTCTAATATGTGATACCTTAGACACGGAATCAGGTCAAAGAATTGTAATTCAAAGATCACAATTCTCCATTAAATTGAAACCCCCTTGTTTGACATAATCATAATGCTGCACTCACCTTCAAAGTCTGAGAATTGAACGAAGAGAACAAAAGGGAATATCCCCACCAGCCACCAGCCACCAGCCACCAGCCACCAGCCACCAGCCACCAGCCACAGTACAGAATTCTTGCCTTCTGTGTCAAATCCGTAGAATCAGGATTCCACTCCATTTCTGCCTTCAACTGCTCTGGAAACAAACACTCAAAATTTGGATCCCATTCCCAATTCCGATCCCACCAGTTCTCGTTCCGCGTAGTAAACAGTCTCCAACACTTTCTTTAAGTTTGTCCATGCCGAGAAAAATAGGTGGGCCCCGTTTGGACAGGTCCATTTTAACACTACAAGCCAAAAGCCCCAAAACCCAAAAACCTTGGTTAGCTACCCAACTACTCAATAAAGTACAGAGCCCACTTGAAACTTCTTCTTCATTCCATTCCATGAACTCCACCTCATCTAAGCTTGTCTCTTCAAAAGTCGGATTAGAATTGCTTATGGGACCCACAACTGAAAATTCCAATCCAACCGCACGCATGAAGCCTGGCCCGCTCCAACCTCGGACCCCGCCGGAAGCCGGATATTTCTCTCTTTCCTTCCATCGGTCTATATTTCTATGTGCTTGCCTCTTTTCAAGGACGACGAGTCCCTAAAGAAAACCAGGTGCTCTCAAATCTCTGCAACCCTCCAGTGGCTACTGGACAATTCCGTCTCCACCTTTCTCCGTATTCCGCCCCCTTTAATGCTCCGCCCACCACTCCACACTTCCCTCTAACCGCTTCCTAACCGCTCCAATCCCCACCTCCACCACCACCCACGGCCACCATCGCCTGAAATTGATTTCCGGCCTCCACCTTAATGACTATCTGCATTATCTTCAATCCTCTCTTGGATACCATGTCGTCCCACTTAAACCCCTGCAAAACCCATCTCCAGTTACCTCTTTGATCGTCGATTTAAACCAGTCCAGCCTTCGTGTACTCTGCTCTCACTAATTGAACCCCAAATGGCGCACAGCAATGGCACAAGAAATATTCTATTCGGCAAATACGAGATGGGGAGATTGTTGGGGAAGGGGACCTTCGCCAAGGTCTACTACGGGAAGCAACTCAATACCGGCGAGAGCGTTGCCATCAAAGTGATCAGCAAGGACCAGGTCAAGAAGGAAGGATTAATGGAGCAGATCACGCGGGAGATCTCCGTCATGCGTCTGGTCCGCCATCCCAACGTCGTCGAGCTCAAGGAAGTCATGGCGACGAAATCGAAGATCTTGTTTATTATGGAGTACGTTCGAGGTGGTGAGCTCTTCGCTAAGGTCTACAGAGGGAAGCTCAAGGAGGACGCCGCTCGAAAGTATTTCCAGCAATTGATCAGCGCTGTTGATTTCTGCCACAGCAGGGGCGTCTCTCACCGTGATCTGAAACCCGAGAATCTCCTCCTTGATGAGAACGGAAATCTCAAAATCTCTGATTTCGGGTTATCTGCTCTGCCGGAGCAGCTCCTCAACGACGGACTCCTGCACACGCAGTGCGGGACGCCGGCCTATGTGGCCCCCGAGATTCTGAGGAAAAAAGGGTACGACGGATCGAAAGCGGATCTCTGGTCTTGTGGGGTCATTCTCTACGTGTTACTCGCCGGATTCCTTCCTTTCCGGGACGAGAACATAATGAAGATGTACGGGAAAGTTTTCCGAGCGGAGTACGAGTTCCCGGCCTGGTTTTCCTACGAAGCCAAGCGGTTGATCTCGAGGCTTCTGGTCGCCGATCCCAATAAACGGATTACGATTCCGGAGATAATGCAACTGCCTTGGTTCAAAAAAGGGTTCACCCGACCCATCGCGTTTTCAATCGAGGAACCGTCGCCGGAGAAGACGGAGGAAGACGACCTTGTAGTGAAGTCAAAATCGTCTCCACCTTTCCTCAACGCGTTCGAGTTCATCTCCTCGATGTCATCAGGGTTCGATCTCTCGAGCTTGTTCGAGAACAAGCGGAAGGCAGGGTCAATCTTCACGTCGAAATGCTCGGCCTCGACGATCATGTCGAAGCTCGAGCAGGTGGCGAAGGGGTTGAGTTTCAAGTTCATAAAGGTGAAGGATTTCAAGGTGAAGATGCAGGGAAATGTTGAAGGGCGTAAAGGGCGGCTGTCAGTGACGGCGGAGGTTTTCGAGGTGGCACCGCAGGTGGCCATCGTCGAGTTCTCGAAGTCCGCCGGAGACACCCTCGAATACGCCAAATTCTGTCAAGAGGACGCTAGACCTGCGTTGAAAGACATAGTCTGGTCTTGGCAAGGCGACTGTAACGGTAACGGCAACTCTAACGTCAACACCAACGATCAACCACCCTAACTGAAACCCTAGTCCTGATTAGGGCTTAAACCTTTTTCAGTTTTTTGCTGTAATTTTCGATTTTTTTCCCCTAAGAAGTAAAGACTGTAAATAATTTGTGATTTGCATACGGGTTTGGGTTCGGGTTCGGGTTCGGGCATGTGTAGAGATAGGGTACTGATGAAGAGAGAATGGAGTGTATGCTACAAGCTAGAGAAGACAGTTACAAGATTTGTAAATGAGAGAAGGCGGTTAAGATTTGGAATGAAAGAGTTGCTTTCATATGATTTGTTCTTGTTCTTGTTTTGTGATTTGGAATTTTGGAATGCAGGCAGCAATTTCAGTTTCTTTATTTTGTGGCCTTCGTTACCTAGGCTGGAGTAATGGTGGATTGAGTTTTGAAGGGTTCATTCTGTTTGAGTTTGGAGGTTAAGACTTCAAGAAAAGGCTTAGAGGAGCTTAGGTTGGGCAGATGTTGAGAGTATAAAAGGGGGTAGCCCATCCCCTAATTCAGGTGTAGGCCGGATTTAATTCCAAGTCTTTATTATGACCAGCAGGAGAAGGAGACCTTAACCTAGGCCGAATTCGATCTCAAGTCTCAAGTCTCTATTATGATCAGCAGAAATCAGTTTTTAGGGTTACTGACCATATGTTAAATATTTAGAGTTAGGCCTATTAATAGATTCAAATGTTCATATTCATTTTACCAAATATATATAAACAAAGTGAAACTAAAAAATTAAAAAGGGAAAAAGATTATCCAAGTGATTAAGGATATACTCTAAACCATGGTTCCAGGGAAGATTGGGAGTTTGATTGGTTATATCTGAGATTAGATTGGTGCTCTACAGAGCGTGCCCCACATGCACGTCCCAGTGTGCATTGGGAACATCTCTCATATTTGTCATGGAGAGATTATATAATATCATATAAAGGGGATATTTACCTTACCTTACTGTAGGACATAAAAATTAAATTTAATTATATAATATTTATTTTTAATTAAAAAAAACAGAAGAGATTATGTATACTACCTCATATCACTAACTCGCACTATTGCACAGATGCATAGACGCCTTTACACTTTTTTTTTAAAGATGGATGAGAGATGGAGGTTTAGATATGAACGAGGTATGTGATCGTCCATGGAATTTTCAGACCAATGAGGTTCTGCAGTGGTTCAACTTTCAAGAAAAGAAAAAGGATAAAAGGGACATTCTAGTTTGGTTTATATGAAATGCATGTCATTAGGGTCGTAAATGGTATTAATGGAAATCAAGTGAATCTAGTAATATTCAAATGGGTTTAACTATGGTGCTTGAAAAATATGTAAAAAACACTTGTAATCAATCAATTAGTATCATACAATGGTAGCGAATTTGGTGAATTTTCACCAAAATTCATGGGGGTTTGGTTCCATGAGTTTCAAATCTTGTAGAGGTTATTTTATTCATGTAGGGCAGGATGGCTTTGATCATTTCTAGTTTACCTTGATCATAATGATATGTAGTATCTGAGTCTTGATGCTAGTCCAACCCAAATGTGATGTATAAAATTTTGATTGTTTCAAATATTAACGGATAACTTTGAATCGTAAGTATATTCAATTTGAAAGCCATCCTACCCTACATGTTATAATGTTGTTAAGGTATAGAGGTCATTTGGCAGTTGGCACCCCTCCAAACAGGAGAAAACTTTGTCTATTGGGAATGTTCTTGGGTATGCCATGTTAATCCATTCTTTCTCCTGATTCACTATTTTGATCAAAATGATATTGAGGGCAATTATTCCTTTACCCTACAGTTATAATAGTGTCATGCACAAGAACTTTATCAACTGTTGGAATTGCACAGTGGAAATAATGTAATCTGTACGTGCATAGAAAGAAAATAAAAAGCAGATATCAATAGAGAAAGAAAAAAGAAAGAGAGAACACCAGATTTATGTGGTTCGGCCAAAATGTCGTCCACGGGCAGCAGTTTGGAGCTTCCTTCTTACTATAAACAGGAGAAAATACAAAGATGACCTCACTAAAATCACACCCGTACCTAACACTCAATACACCCAAACACAATACTCCTCTCAACACACTACACACACTATACACTGAAATGAAATGGAGTATGTTTTTAAATAACATAGGGGGAACCCCTATTTATACTTGAGTTGAGGGGTATAATGGGGTTTTTTTAAAATTTTTTTTCAACCTTAAGTAAACAACAAAATGGTGTGCCACCGTTCAATATGGTGGGCTCAGCTCGATGGGTCACCGATTGTAAATTCGGTGAGCCACCGACTGGCCCACATTTTTTAACTTTTCAACATTCTCCCACTTGAAGACAATTTTCATAGTGAAAAAACTTGCTCAAGAATAGTTGTCGATCATCTCTCATCACCGGCTTTGTCAATATATCAGCAACGTTGTTGTTAGTGTGGATCTTCTATAATGAGATCTGCCCATCTTCAACTACCTCACGAACAAAGTGGTATTGTACATCAATGTGTTTAGTCCGTGTATGAAAGACAATATTTCTTCCCAAGTGTAATGCGTTTTGACTGTCACAATGAAAAGTCACCACTTCTTTCTTGATGTGGTATTCTTCAAGCAACCTCTTTAGCCAAATACTTTCTTTGCATACTTGTGTAGCTGACATATATTCTGCTTTTGTTGTAGATAAGGCTACTAAAGATTGCAATTTTGATGCCCAACTCACTACACCATTAGCTAAAGAAAACACATAACCAGCAGTTGATTTTCTATTATCACGATCTCCTGCATAGTCTGCATCCACATAACCAACTAGTTTTAAGCTTTGGCCACTATAACAAATAGAGATTTCAGAAGTACCCTTCAAATACCAAAGGACTCTCTTCACCGCAGTCCAATGATCTCTTCCTGGATTTGCCATAAACTTACTAACTGCTCCCACTGCTTGTGCAATGTCTGGTTTGGTGCACACTATGGCAAACATAAGGCTCTCTACTACTGATGAATATGGTATATGGGACATCTCTGTCTTCTCAGCTTCAGTGCTAGGTGATTGTTCCGAAGAYAACTTGCAACCAATAGAAAATGGGATACTGACTGGTTTGGAATCTTGCATGTTGAAGTGCTGCAAGACCCTTTGAACATAACTCTTTTGAGTTATCCAAACTTTCCTGTTCTTTCTGTCCCTATATACCGTCATCCCAAGAATCTGATTAACCGCCCCCAGATCCTTTATATCAAACTCCCTAACTAAACGAGCTTCCAGTGTTGAGATACTTCCTTTATCAGTACCTGCAACTAGTATGTCATCAACATATAACAACAAAATGATGAAATGATCATTACCAAAGTAAGTGTAGGCACAATGATCTGCTTAGCATTTGCTAAAGCCTAAGCTTATAATGAAAGAATCAAATCGCTTATACCAACACCTTGGCGCCTATTTTAGACCGTAAAGTGATTTGGTCAGCTAACAAATCAGATCCTTTTTGTTGTTCTCGACAAAGCCTTCAGGTTGAGTCATATAAATCTCTTCTTCAAGATTATCATGCAAGAATGCAGTTTTAACATCTAACTGCTCCAGCTCCAAGTCAAGTACTGCAGCCATACTCAATAGAATACGAATAGTACTTAATCGAACAATAGGAGAAAATATTTTGTTGAAGTCGATACCTGATCTTTGAGCATATCCTTTTACAACTAGTTGAGCTTTGTATCTTTTGACATTCCCGCTAGTATCCTTTTTGAGTTTGTACACCCATCTATAACCAATGGCCTTTCGATTCTTAGGTAGTTTGACTAAGTCCCAAGTTTTATTTTTTTTTAGAGCTTCCATTTCTTCCTCCATTGCCATTTGCCAATGACGAGCATTTGGACATTTGCATGCTTCCTGGTATGAACAAGGCTCATGCTCTTCTGTAATGCAAGCATAAGTTGTTACATAATCCTGAAGCCATATAGGAGGTCTTGTAGCTCTCCTTGATCGATCTTGATCACCGTGAGTCTCTCCTTCAAAATTTTCAATGTGCTCTTCAGGTACATTAATAGTTGTATCAATTTGTTGCTTTTGAATCTTTTGAAAAGATTCCACTTCAACTTTCTCTGTTGTCTTAGAGCTTGATTCTTTCTGCATCGAATCTTCATTGAAGACAACATCTCGGCTAACAACTATCTTGTGGGCAGTATGATCCCATAATCTGTATCCCTTTGTACCTTTTGCATAGCCAAGAAAAATACACTTTTTGGACCTTGCCTCTAGCTTGGTCCTTTGCTCCTTAGGAATCCAAACATAAGCATCACAACCAAATGTACGTAGGAAAGAATAATCAAGTGTCGTAGTGGGAGAGCGATTTACTAGGTAACATGTCGTATTGACTGCTTTTGCCCAAAAGTACTGCTCCAGCCCAGCTGTGCTTAACATGCTTCTAGCTCGATCCATAAGTGTACGATTCATCCATTCAGCAACTCCGTTTTGTTGTGGAGTTCGTGGAACCGTATACTGTCTCAGAATGCCGTGCTCATTGCAAAATCCTTCAAATTCTTTTGAGGTATATTCTTTCCCATTGTTGGTTCTTAGACACTTAATTATTTTCCTCTTTTGATTTTCAACTAGAGCTTTGAATTTCTTGAAATAGGAAAAAAGTATCACTCTTCCGTTGGAGTAAATATACTCATACTTTCTTGGAGAAATCATCAATAAAAGAGACATAGTATAATGAACCTCCAAGAGATTCCGTAATAGCTTCCCACGTATCTGAGTGTATTAGATCTAATACTTCTCTACTCCTAGCTTTAGACTTGTGAAAACTAACTCTATGGTGTTTCCCAAATAAACAATTTTCACAGAAATTCAAATCAGTAGATTTTAAACCAGGAAGTAGATTTTGATCAAGAAGTACCTTAAGTCCTTCGCTTGCTCATATGACCCAAACGTCTGTGCCAAATCATGACAAAATCGGTCACAACATTTGCAACGATGGCATCGCCGACCATGGTATCCCCGATCAAGTGGTATAACTTCCCTTTTAATTTGCCTTTTGCAATTACCATAACTCCTTTACTGATCTTCAATTGGCCCTTTTCTCCAGAAAACTTGTAACCGTCTTCATCAAACTTTCCTAGTGATAGGAGACTCTTTCACAGTTCAGGAACATACCGTACACCAGAGATTGTACGAGTGATGCCGTCAAACATAGTAATTTTAACGTCTCCAAATCCCACTATTTTGCATGTGCTATTATCGCCCATGTAAATAGTCCCACCATTGCACGATTGGTATGTGTAGAACCAATCTCTGCA